GTGATTAACTCTCAACTTTTGTGGCGTGAGTGGAATCCCCAAATATCTAAACTGCGTTGTATCCCTTGGAATGCCCACAACCTCTTGGATTTCATCCAAATCTATCCCTTGAATACCAGCCGTGTAAAGATTTGACACGTTCAAGTTCACTCTCAATCCGGAGCAATTACTAAACTTGGACAAGCATTGCATCAATATATGCACCGATATAGCGTTACCTCTAGCAAATAATATCAAATCATCCGCAAATGCCACGTGTATGATTTTTCGAAGCCCACATTTTGGACTTCTCATGTTTGAATGTACATACTCGTATTATAAATGTATGTAAGCTTTGCGAAGGAGTCTCTGTGAAATCTTGCAAAGTTGATTGGCTAAGATCCATTGCTGCGTAAAGTGAATTTTTTGAATGATCGGCTCAATTATTTACTTCCAGTCTGTCCATTTTCCAAACAATTCCAGAAGGGGATAAAAAGAGAGAATAACTGTGTAGGATGTTTACTTTTGCTTTAGTGCATGAACCAGTTATGGTCCAGTTTCTTTTATTTTCAAAATCTGAGATTCAGAGAGTCTTTGAAAATCATATATATTTGCTAGCTTCTTGGAATGTTGTTGGATTGTGGAACTGTAGGTATGTGTTCGAATGGGATGGAAACTATAGATCATTAGGGTTTTAGGATGCTGAAGGGGTTTTGGGTAAAATTTAATTTTACAAAAGATATAATTAAATTAAAGTTTGTGTATGTTTTTCTGAATATAATTGTAATTATTCAATTCTAATGTGTTAGTACAACTCAAACCTAATAAATTGAATGAACCAAAGAAACTATGATAGATGAAGCAATTAAGATTGTCTGAGAATTGGATCATTTGTTAGTCCATTTAAAATCCACAATCTTCTTTGATTTATTGAAGTACGTAGTATCCAGGTTCCACTGTATTTTCTTAATAAAGGACTTCTGGTACCACATTTTGCTGCTCAAATATTAACCAAAAAAAAAAAAAAGGAGAAACTAATACTTATGTACAATAGATCTCCATCATATTTTGGCATTATATGTCATGTGTTGGAATGTATTGGTGTTAATGAAACCGAATTATCACATGCCATATGTGTAGTTTAAACATTAATTATAAGCATACGGTATATGCATAGACCGTATATGGCGCTTACCGTATTTGTAGGTAGCTTACCGTATATGCAGCTTACTGTATTTGCAGGTAACTTATCGTATATATTGCGTACCGNGGCGCTTACCGTATTTGTAGGTAGCTTACCGTATATGCAGCTTACTGTATTTGCAGGTAACTTATCGTATATATTGCGTACCGTATTTGCATAAAGCTCACCGTATTTGCACAGAATTTGCATAAAGTATTTTTATTCATGCACTAACTAAAATAATACAAATTTTTGTATTTACAAATAGAAATACCGTATATGTGAAATCTATTTTCACACATATAACGAATTAGAGAAAAAATAATTTATTTTATTTATCTATTTCTAACATAAATTTAACAAACAATATATGAGTCAAGCATGTTGCAAACGTGTAAATCGCTAAAAAAATAAATTTGCAAGAATAAAATGCAAACTAAATAAATAGCATATAAATTTTCAACCCAAGACCTGTGCGAACACAGTTTTCTTAAAACAGATTCCCCTCCTCACCGTAAAGCATGAGATTTAATATGAGCGTCTGTTTCCTATGATACAATGGCAAAACCCGTAGAATCTGAGTACCACAGAAACTACTCCGACTAACTAATACAGTGTCTGAACAATATCACAACGACCTTACTGGAAAGATATGCGTATGCAAGAAATCAAGACCTTACTGGACAAAGACACGGATAGAAAATGCAGGGGACGTTTTTTCTGAATAGTGAGGAAGAAAACGTTTTTCTTTTTCATCTGTGTAAATTGCTGAAAACTTGAGATTTAATATAGCATAAATCTGTCATTAACTCTATGGCAATTAACATTGGAGTCATTTCAATTTCTGAGAGTTTTGGATGTTTCAAAAACTCAAAAGTCAGGTTCAGAAAGCAAGAAAAAAAATTGCAAAACGTGGGCTCTCCGAAGGGGCCAATGTTTGCTTCGTTCGGTCTGACATTTGTGTACGCAGGTCGCGCCCGTACACAAGTTCAAGGTCTGAAGGCTATTTCAGTCCGAGATTTGCACCCCCTGCGCGCGCACGTGAAGAGAGCCTCTAATACACATAATTACACCCTTCCAATGTGTAACCATTCTTGCTTTCTTCCTTTTCCTATGTGGGACAAAATCTATTTTCCACATAAAACCATCTTTCAATGGTAAACTTTGGGCTCCAATTTCTCATTCACCCGAGCTTCATTTTTTGCAAGTAAATAGATGATTTTGATGCTCTCACAGAAGAAAATATGGATCAACTTTCATCTTCCAAATTGGACCAACGGGTCTCACCGAAAATCTTGCCAAAAGTGAGCTATTACTCATTTTTTCCAACAATCCCCCACATGAATGAAAATTAGGAGAGACATGAGACTGTAAGGCACAAGACTAGGTGATAAAGTTCAACGGTTGAAGCGTGCATAGAATAGATAGGTATCACCCTTTGAACCTTCCCTTGTAAAAGCATATTTACTTTACTAGCTGACCAGTAGACATGTTGTCCTTGAACTGTTCTGCTAGTTATGTAAACGATGATGTACTCCACACAGGATTCTTCCTAACACAACTCAGTTCTTATTATTATGTTCGTTTTGGTCATGAACATATACCTGGTTCTGTGAGAGTTCTTAAGAATTAAGTCCCACACAATTCTCTTAGAAGCAGCCCCACTTCTCTCTCACATAGGTGATTTCTTATTACAAGTAACCCGCATTACTTGGCTCAAACTTCGACGCATAAGAATCATTAAAAGCCTAGTGCTTATCATTCATCCTTACGGGCATCACTGTTACATCATAGAAATGGACAGGAGGAAATACCCCATAGTGATTTTATTAAGCCTTTACAATTAG